CAATTGCCTTAGTTCACAACTTTGATGGTCACAAGGCAGCCTTCTCCTTGTTGAGCAGGTGTGTTTTCCTATAGTTCTCTTCTTCTGGCCTGTCTGACTCCATGGCCAGGTGCTGGGCCCTAGGCCCCCATCCCTTCCCCCACACTCCCTCTTGCCAAACAAACAAGATTGGTCATGGTGTTCATCTCAATCTTCATATTAGGAAGGCAAATGCCAGTTTATTGAATAGGAATGCTAGCAAGTAACCTATTGGGAAAGATGGAGGGCCACATTACTGTGAGGGCATCTGTGGTTGTTTTTCACCAGTGTGGGTCTTTTCTGATACTGTAAGGATGGGTCCAGATAGAGTATGAGTCAGTCATGGCAGGTTCAACCTCAGAAGGCAGGCCTGAAGCATCTGGTGTTCACAAGTGTTAGAGGGTTGGGGGCTAGCTCTGGATGTGAGTCTTAGGTAGAAGGGCATCTTTATATTTTAGGGCACTCCTGAACGTGATTCCCTGGACAAGGCTGTCATCGCATAAGAACATCGACCTTCTCCACCTACCTGGTGGCACAGGATGATAGGGCAGGAGTGGGTTGGTTTGGCCTTGCTTTTTTATGTGAGGTGAGCTAGGTTTATGTTTTCCCTTTCCATTTTCCCTAACTGGATGAAAAGGACATAGTCCAAATCCCTTTTGTTGGAGAATGCCAGTTTGAGGGGGAAGTGGGAAGCCAGAAATGAGAATCCTCTGAAAAGACTATGAAATACAGATTTTCATTCTTTCAAGCTTATTTGTAAATATTTATTTGAATGCTATGTATTTGTACAGGAATTTGAGCAAAAAATGTAGAGAGAGTCCAATTGATATTCTTTCCAATTCCATCCAATTCTAGTATCTAATTGGTATTCAGCCCTATAAATGTGTATTTAACCTCTGGGAAAGGGAAGGGAGAAAGGCGGGGTGAGGGAAGAAGGAAGGAAGCATCACTGCTTGCGATGAGAAAAATGGTGGGGGCAAGGGCAGAAACAGAGAGAGAAGATAGAGATGATTGCAAAAAATGCAGGAGAAAAATGGTAGTGACACTTGGTCCAGGGGGGTTGTAACAGACATGGTAGAATGTAGTCAATTCTGATTTTATTTTAAACATGTGGCTTACAGAATTTGCATATGGATTAGATGTGGGATATAAGAGAAAAATAAAAGCTAAAGGTGACACCAAGGCTTTGGGGCTGATAGAATAAAAGGAGTTGCCATTCACTGAGATGAGGAAGTCTGCATGGCAATGGGCAGAGGGGCTGGCTGCTGACATATTTCACTAGCAGTGCCTATTAGGCATCAAGTGGAGATGTTAAAGGAGAAACTGAATCTAGAGTAGAGAAAAAGGATTATCTGGGGATATAAATTTGGGAATCATCAGTATGTAGATGGTATTTGAAGTCATAAGACTGACTGAGATCACTATGGGAGACAGTGTCAATAGAAAAAAGTATAGACAACAGTGCTTCAAAATTTAGAGGTCAGGGGGCTCCTGGGGGCTCAATTGGTTGAATGTTGTCTCGGTTTCAGCTCAGGTTATGATCTCATGGGTCATGAGATCTAGCCTCACATCAGACTCCTCTCAGTGGGGAGTCTGCTTAAAGATACTCTTTCTGCCCCTCCTCCAATACATGCACACACGTGCATGCACACACACACATACACACACACACACACTCAAATAAATAAATTAAGGTACACCTGTGTGACTCAGTTAAACATCTGCCTTTGGCTCAGGTCATGATTCCAGAGTCCTGGGATGGAGCTCTGCATTGGGCTCCCTGCCCACTGGGGAGTCCACTTCTCCTCTGCCCCCACCCCTCCACTTGTGCTCTCTCTCTCTTGCTCTCTATCTCAAAATAAATAAAAATTAAAAAAAAATAAATCTTTTTAAAAAGTTAGAGGTTAAGAAAATGAGAAGGAATCAGCAAAGATGACTGAGATCAAACACTGGGTAAGAATCAAGGCAGGGTCTCAGAAGCCTAGTGAGGAAAGTGTTTCAGAGAGGTGGAGTGATCAGCTATGTCAAATTCAACTGCTTGGCAAAGTAAAATGAGAATTGAAATTTGGTCATTATATTCAGCATTGTGGAGATCACTGAAGACCTTGACCTGTGGAGTGATGGGAGTGAGTTCAGGAGAGAATGGAAAAGAGGAAGCAGAAGTATAGACTTTTTGCTGTGAGGGTGAATAGAAAAATTGTGTGGTAATTGGAGGAGAATATAGGGTCAAGAAAAGAGCTTTACTTTTAGGGAGATATTACAATAGCATGTTTGAATGACAATGGGAATGTTCTAACCATAAAAGAAAAGTTGATATGGGAGAGAGAGGAGAAACTTGTAGAGCAATGTCCTAAAATTATTAAAAGAGTGATATCTGGAGCACAAGTGAAGGGTCCCCATGGGTAGGAGCAGAATTCATCCAGAGGAACATGAGGGAAGACACAGTGTATCGTGACAGATGATGGAAGAGTAGATGTAGCGAGAGCTTTGGCAGCTTTCTTCTTGTTGCTTCTCAAGTGAAGCAAGGTCTTCATCACTGAGAATCTAGAGGGGGAGGGTATACTGAAAATGTGAGAAGAAAGGATATAATGTTAAATAGTTGCCTAACAGAACGGGAGAGTGAGTGTGCAGGGAGTATACTAGGATGATAGAGCAGTCCTGAGTCCTCAAGCTAATGGTAATGTCCCTTTCCAGACATATTCAGATGTGGTATATTTTGATTACCTTTGCAGCTGAGGGCAAAATAAGATGAAACAGAATGACATGTGTAGTAGGAAGGAAAGATCAGTTTTGAACACATGGTTGAGTGCCTTTGGATTGGATGGCCAGGAGGCAGTAGATTATATGTATGATCTGGAACTCAGGAGGTCTGGAATAAATGCAGAGTCCTCAGAAAAGAGGGAGTCATTGCAACAGAGAAAGTAAGTGTGATGTCCAAGAAAGGAAGTATAAAGAGAAGAGCATAAACTTGGGAAACACTTCCATTTTAGAGGATGGAAAGAAGAAAGGATCCATCCAAAAAAGACAGAGAAAGGAACTTAAAATTAAATGAAGCATTTTTTCCTGAAGCCTAGAAATGAGACGGTTCAATGAAAAGGAGGGAAAATCATTCAGAGAGGCTGGGGTGGCAGGGGGCTGTGGGGGGAGGAGAAAGGCTCCCAGGTTCGCTCAGAAGAAAGCTGGTAGTAGACTATATCAGAGCACTTAGTAGAAATGCAAAGAAAAGGAACTCATGAGTAAAATATAAGGGGAATGAAAGAAAAGACCCAAGAGAGCTATGTACAAATAAAAGGAGCTTTGGGAAGAGCAAAAGGAGTTACTGGAAGAGAAGAGATACTTTAATAAAGATAAAATAGAAGAAAATGTTCCTGAACTAAAGAAAGACCTGAGTCATCTGATCAAAGGGGTTCTCTGAGTCCTAGAAATATTAACAATAAAATAAATACGAAGATAAAATCGGATGATAATTCTGAGCTCCAGAGTAAAAAGAAAAACCTGAAAAGTTTCAGAGAAAGCTACTTACAAAAGAAAAAGGAGACTGGCAACATTTATCTGCAAAACTGGAATCTCAAGGGACAGTAGAACAATTTTCTCAGACTGAGAGAAATGTATATTATATAGGATTCCCTTACCCAGCCACAATGTCATTCGTATTAGAGGGGCTTTAATATGCAAATTATGGTATACTCAAAGTATACCATCCACATACTCTTTCAGAGGGAATGACTTAGGGATGTACTCCAGTGAAATGAAAAAATTCAATCAGAACAAAGATCTCAAAATGAGGGAAGACAAAACATACGTGTGTGTGTGTGTGTGTGTGTGTGTGTGTGTGTGTGTGTGTGTTTTAAAAGTCACCAGCAATTCAAGGGAATGATCCTCGGAAAGTAGTGGGAGAAGAAACTGGGTTGCATGGCATTGTAAAAGCAATAGGGAGAATACTTGTTGAAGAAGTGTGGAGATAAAATGATAAGAGAAGATTACTTAAGGGATCAAAAGAATACTTGACTTTATTTATGAAAGCAAAGCTCAGGCATGTTTGTAGGTAGAGGAAAAGGAGTTTAAGCAGGCAGAGGGAGAAGGTGTACAAACACATGAGTCCTGAGACATGGAAGGGGCTAAGTCATTGCTGATAATTTGAGAATAGGATCCCTTCATATTAGGAAGGCACATGCCTTTCAGTAGCTTGGCTTTAGGAAGGAGGGAGAAATACTGGAATGGTCAGAAGAAGGAGAGAAGGAAGAAGGGGTGGGGGAGGGGAGAGAGGTTCAGGAAACCATTTTCTACAGATACCCAAAGATCTCTCAGAATTACATGCTAGGGGAACCTGGATGGCTCAGTCAGAGGAGCATGCAACTCTTGATCTTGAGGTTGTGAGTTCAAGCCCCATGTTCGGTGCAGAGGTTACTTAAAAATAAAAAATCTTTAAAAAGAATTGCATTCATAAAGCATATATCTTAGTATAAGTTTATTTAATTCTGTAATCCAGGAGCATAACCCATTTGATGCATCATTCACCTGGTATCTATTATTATTCATAGGCACATAGCTAGAGTGACCTCTGAATGAAGGGTACAAAGGACTGATCATTGTTTGAGGAAGGATTAATTAAAGCATATCTGAAAATCATGGACTGGGCACTTGGGGAAAAACATCAAGACATTTGGTTCTCAGTGGCAGGACAAAAGTGTGGAGAGCCCCAGGGAGGCTGAGATGGGAACCCAGGACAAAACCAGATGACTTTATAAAACAGCATTGCATAAGGATGAGGCTGGCTATATGACATACTCTGCATGGCCTTATGAGCAGCAAAGATTAAAATCTTTTGTCTCATTCACTGTGGGAGCTTGAGAGTGATTCCACTTCTTAGAGCATCAGTTTCCTTATCCATAAAAGAAGAGGATAATAAGGACTTCGCAGAGTTTTTGGAATATCACATCCATTCAGCAGGTTGTTGCAGAGGGTCCACTATGTGCCAGGCATTGTTCCCAAGGCTGGGATTCCTTGGTAAAAAGAAAAAAAAAAAAATCCATATTTCTCCTTCCTGGAGTTTCCATTCTAGGTGACTGTGAGAAGGAGAGCAGTCATAGAGCCTTTGGCATGAAAAGAGCAAAAGGTGCTCAAAAGATATCACTTCCATCCTATCCCTTCCCAAAGTGATTTTCACAAAGGTTCCATCGCCCACCCACAGCCCTAGCCCATCTCCCCATGGTGGGCAGAACTGTATGGCTCTAGATACCCAATTGCTATTCCACAAAGATGAAACCTTAGCTGATATTTAGCAAAAATCCTTGAATACCAAGCTCTCCCATTCGGACAAGGAGCTAGAGGAAGAAACCTAGTGCTTGCAATCCACCCCCATACCAAGCCCCCCCATGTCCCCTCCATCGGTTTCCAGGACCTGAATTTCAAGCCCAGCTTGTAAAGGATGGCTCTCTACAGGTTCCGTCTCAGGTTTGGCTTCTTGCCTCTCCCTGACATTCTTCTCCATGGCCTGTGTTTGATGCATGAGCTCTACTCACTTGAAAACACAGGCTCACACACTCAGTATTGTGCGGTCTTTTTTTAAAAAAAACAGCCAATCTTTGTATGTGTGCAAAGGGGTGCACAGCCCCCAGCTTCCCCCCAGCTCCCCTTCCTCAAGCCCTTTTCCACTCTGCTTCCCCTGGTCAGCATGCCTGCTGTCTGTCTCCCATGTGCCCAGCTCTCCCAGGGGGCCTTCCAGCGTGTGACATGCCCCCCTTGCCTTGTGTCCCTTCTGCACTGTCACCCTCTCACTTTAGTGGGCCTGTCATTTTCTCATTGTGGTCACCACCCCAGACCCGAACTTGTCTTTCTCTTTCCTGTTTCCAATTAAACCTTGTCCTATCAGGAATCCTAGACCACACTGTCCCACAGTCTCCAGAGAGAATGAGAGCCTGCTCGCAGAGGGGGGATTCCCACTGACCAGCCTGGTGAGCTCAGCCAGAGATATTATGGGGGTGGGTTAAAAGCTGTGGAGACCCCGGGGAAGAGAGAGTGAGCAAGTCATTTGTGGTGGGTGTGGGCGGGGTGCATTTTCCTTCCTTGTCTCGTGCTTTCTTTTCACAGCTGTGGTTCCCTGGAGCCCTAACATTCCAGTTCCCAGAGCTAATTTTAGGTTCTTGGGACTGGCTTGTTCTACGTGACCCTGGCCCCCGCCTTTCCCCTTTACCCGGCATATTCATTCCCGCCCGCTGGCTCACACAAGCAGCACTCTCTTGCTGGATCTCAAATCAGTGAGTAGCAATTGTAATCCAGGTCTCCCACCAGCTCGAAGACCCTCAGGAAGCAGGAAACTGAAGAGAGGGGGCATGGAGTGGGAGTCCTGGAAGAACAAAAGAGGGTGGGGGTGGGGAGCAACTTCCTGCCTCCCAAATAAGGAGATGATGTTTATCGCCCTGGTCCTGAGCACAGGACCTTCGTAAAGCCTTTAAGAGAGAGGACCATGGAGCAGGAACACAGACTAAGACAGACAGATGGACGCCTGCCATTGCTCCACCACGACCCATCTCCATTCAGTGTTTACGCAACAGGTGAACCTGGGCCTTCCGGGGTGGCCACCTTCAGTCTCACTGGATTCTCCAATCGTGACGTAAACATTTCATTGAGTTTTTAAGTGAAAGAAACAGATGTCATCTTCGTCATGCCTCTAATTCCACAGTGGGGTAAACCAGGGCCCAGAGATAAGACAAGACTTCCTCAAGGTCAGGAGTGAGTACAAGATCATGTGAAGCCAGGACTGGGACCAGGACTTGAACCAGGTCCTCCTGCACTCCAACTCAAAGTTCTTTCAGGCACCAAGTTGCCTTCAGCTGTGGTTCTGTTCATATCCTATCATTTGAGAGCAGGTTGCCCATTCCTCTGTCTCCACCAATGGTTGGGGCAATGAGGTACCTCTCTCCCAGACTTGCTTTCTCAGCACTGCCTTGGCCTGGCTCTTAACTGAGGGTGTAATGGAAGCTCTGGGAGGTAGTGCTAACTCCCTGGGAAAAGAGCATCATCTGCTGTGGGTCCCACCTGGGGAGCTGAGAATGCTTAAGGGCAGATTCCATTTCCGAACTTGATCTTTGTCTCTGCCAATGCCCCAGGAAAGCTGATCAAGAACTGGATCTTATACACCAAATTTTAGAGGCATCAATAATCAGACCCTCAGCAGTGACTGTCTCCTTCCTTCAGATTCTGCTCCTACTGCTTGAACCTGCTTTTCTATGCCTTGTTCTTTCTCCCACTTTCAGGTGCATTTGCTTCCTTCCCCTCTGTTTCAGACCCTGGGTTTTCCTCACCTGGGCAAGTAACAGGTTCCACCTGGGACAGAACCTTCCAGTAGCCTCTTGGGGACCTCTCAGTCTCCCAGCCACTGGTGACTCCAGCCATCCTCTTGAGGAACTGGATCCCTGAGGCAGTAGCACATGACTAACAGTATGCAGATAGACTGGGTTTGCAACCCAGCCATGCCTCGGTTTCCACATCTGTAAAAGGGGAATAAGCAGTGTAGGGCTCTTGATGAAGATTCAGTGAGTTCTGTGGTATATTCAAATGTAAAGATTCATCAAGCAGTACTCTTAAGATTAGGCTCTCTGTTAACTTCCTATATATATGTTATACTTAAAAAAAGATTAAATGAGTTTATACACTTAGTTTATACATTTTACTCAGTGTGACAAATAGTAAACACTCAATAATGATAGTTGTTAAAATAGCTGCTATTATTTAACCTCAGGCCCTCTGAGGACTAATATTCATTCCTCTAATATTTAGAATAATGACATCTCTTATTTGTGCCATGCTTTCACATTTACTAAGCACTTCCTCATGCATCCTCTCACTTTCGTTTATCACAACAGCCCTTCGAGATGGCTTACTATTTTTCCCATTTTAAAGATAGGAAAGCTGAGGCTCAGAGACACAGACACTTGCTCTAGATCATGCAGCCCATAGTGGAAAACTAGGATGTACCCCCAAGTCCACGTGACTCTTGGGCAAGGACTTCCACCCCACCTCGCTCTGCCCATCAGCAGCTCTATTCTCAGATCTGTCCTGACTTCCTGCTTACAAATACCAGGTTCCTCTGACCCTGGACATCTCTGTGTCCTTCGGGAAGCAACCTACGCAAGGTCCCATGGCTTAATAAACCAAAGCTGAAATAGGACCCACGTCTCCTGAATTTCCAGTCTGGCACTATTTCCGCCACAACCTTTTATCTTGTTGGCCTGATTCCAATTTAGATGCATTAAAGACTTTTTTTTGTTTGTTTTTCCCACTGAATTAAAGGAACCAAAGCATTGCATCAAGAATTGGGATATATTATAGCATGGGTGAAGAACATATGGACATGCGGCAAGAAGGTTCCAATTCATATTCCACTGCTATAACCATAGTACCTGTCATGCAAGTCACTTGTCTTGCGCAGTAGAGTTCAGACCCCGACCCGTGCCTTCTTCAGGAAGATGGCACCCTCTGGAATCTGCGAGGTGTGGGGAACAAATGCTAAGTCTCCCATCCAAGTCCTCACTGTGGAGAGTCCTCCCTCCAGTTACCCGAATCCTTGAGGAGCCCCAAGACTCTGCTTTCAGGTCTTCCTCTTCCTCCACCCCCAACTGGACAATCTCCTGATGTAGTTATTTTAAGGAAAGTTCCACAAGGCAAAAACCTCACAGGATCACTGATGTTTGAGGGTTTGGTTCTTCCTGCCTCCTGTTGGAGATTGGTTTTGAGGTTGTTTTGCTGAATCACTGGACAAAAAGTAAATAAATAAATGAAGGAAGGAAATCTTGCTCAAAAGGAATTCTGTTGCTTCTCAAAAACAAAACAAAACAAAACAAAACAACAAAAAACCAAAGCATCTGTCATCATCAAAGGAATCTGTAGGACCTGGCCTCTCTGGGACTATACTTCATCCTAGGGATTCAGGGGCATCCCCACCAGAGAAGATCTTGCCCAGCCCCTCTCAGCCTGTTCAAAACTGGGATGCCAACCCTCAAGGGCAAGCTGGCTATGTCCCAGGGCCTCTGGGTGGCCCAACATTGCTGATGTCCCTCCTCCCCAACAAGGTAGGAGAAGAACCGGGAGTGACCTTCCTGTGGGACCTGATAACCTGTGAATGTGCTATTCTTCCTTTGGGGGTCACCACCTCTTCTGGTGACTTGGGCACACGGCTTCCACTGTCCACCCCTTATCTCTCGCTCATGTCCTATTACTTTTCTAGGCTCCTCCCACTCCCATAAAGATAAAAAGAGAGCTCTTAGTCCAACCCTATCATCTTGCTGACTTAGAGACTGGGGCCAGAAAAGCAGCAGTAGCTACCCCTCAGGCCCATAGCACCTTTGTGCAAAATAGAAGAAGAAATAGAAGACAGAGAGTCAGTGGACCCCACCACCAGAAGCTGCCAGAACCACCGTACTCTGGATGCGAGAGCTGCCTGGGCCTCCCTGTGCTCTGGTTGCTCCCCTGCTAGAAAGAAGGGGCAGGGAAATGAGAGATTGAGGGAAACTTTCAAGAAGAACCCCTGCGGCCGCCTGACCAGTTTTGAAGTCTTCTAGTCCACTATGGGTAGAATCTTCTTAAAGCACCTTACTGAGCATCTCTTGTCCTGTTTGAAATCCTTCCATTGCCTCAGTCCCAGTCCATCCTCAGTATTACTGGTGTTCAAGGCCTTCCAACCTGTTCTCCATCTTCTCTCCCAGTCTGTATACACTTAACCCTGCTTTTCTGAACCAGTGGTGGGAGCAAAGGAACCCCACTCCGTCTGTGTTCGGTGACTCCTAGGAGCTGGGTAGTGGGGCGCGTGCTGTGGTACTCTGCAGGTGACTCTGACAAGCTGCCCCACTGTGGCAGAAGGAAGGCCAGCCCTAGGAGACACTGCCTCAAGCTCACTCTGAGACCTGAAGCAAATCACTGGCGGTCTCTGAGTCCTGTTCCCTCATGTATAGGATATTGCTTCCCACCTCCTCCCAACTTGAGGAGATTTAACAGCTTGGATTAGGGAAAAATAAAGCTTCTGGTATGTAGGATGTGCTCAATCAATGTTTGCTTCTGTCCTTCACCTGAATGACAGGGTGGAGGAGTGGCATGGAGGGAGTTCACTTTCCTGAAATGTTTGGAGGGCTCAGGGATGTGCGAGGCACTGGCCCATGGTGGGCATGCGTGGGTGGGAATGTGGCTCCTCATCTCCACCTCTGTCTAGACAAGGGCCTCAGAATTGCTGAGTCTCAAGGTTGAAAGGAACCACCTTTCAACCACCTGAAAGGTCAAGTAGTCTAGTCAGAGGCTGTTTTGAAAACACACTTCTGTTAGCTTTTCCATGATCCAGAATTTCATCCCAGCTAGATCATAGCAGGATCTTGATTTTCATTGTCAACTCATTGTTGTTGAGCTCATTCTACACATCTCCAGGCTTTCCCTTAAGTGACATTAAGATGTCACTTAATCATCTCTAATCAAAGCCCTGTAGTATGACCATCATTTCACTGTGAGGGAATTGAGGCTCCAGAAAGTTAAGTAATTTTCTCAAAGCCACACAGCTGATAATTTCATTGCACAGATATTTGTTAAGCACCTAGTATGTGCCAGGTAGACCTGGAAATACAGCAGAAAGCAGTGTAACCTGGATCTTTCTAGATTCTGGATCTTTCTACCTTATCTTGCTTGTTGCCTTTTCCATCCAGATGCCACTAAATCCAGGGCTTGAATAACTTAGAAAGATATTAAGAGGTTGGGATATAATCTTTGAGTAAAACTTTAAAATGTGATCAGTAGTTCTCTATGGGGGCAGTACTGTCCCTCAGGGTGCAGTTTGGAAACTGGTGGAAAGACTTTTGGTTGTTGTCACAAGCAATGGGCACTTAGTGGAAGGGGCAGGGATGTGCATGGGACAATCCTGCAGCCCACAGGGCAGTTGACCATCCCACCAGACACCACACAGATGAAAACCCATTTATAATATCCTAGGACCTAACTCCACATTATTTTGCACACAGAGCATTTGAGCAGGGACCTGTTTTAATATATAACCACTCCCCACCAAATGCAACCACCATGTAAATTCAGGGCAGATTCCCCTTTGTGTTTTTGGAACCTTAACAAGAGTTGTTTCAACAAATCTTATCACCAGTGCCAGCCCTACTCCAGGCCTTTGAGTTGCTAATAAAAAATCCAAATCAGTCCACATTTGTAGATGTTAAGTTCATGACTATTTTATGCATAAATGCAGACATCGGACTGTTTCATTATGTCTTCTACTGTAGTCATGGGCATGTGCTTATAAGCGGAAACATGCTATTTTATTACAAATTATGTTTATCTAGTTTTTATTAGAAACTATTTCTATTTGATCTCTCTTTTATACTACATTTAGAGCACCCTATTAATTTTTTTAAATTGCGCTTATAGGTTAACCAGGAATTTCATTTCAACATAGTTTAAGGACATCACACAAAATTTGTGAAAGAAAGGAGCATGGGTGTAAGAAGGTGGGGTTGGGGCGCTGTAGTAAAAGAAGGGTAACATGGGGCGATGAGCTCTTCCTCACTCCTCCATCACTCCACTGAAGACAGTGGAAGCTGTGCTTCCAGGACTGGGAGTAGATTTGGGCATGATTACTTGGCCACAAAAGCTGTTTGTCATTAAATTAAATAACTGAATGGAAAGGGCAGAGATCGGTGTCAAAAGACATGTATTTGAATCTTGGTTCTACTAGTTCCTGAAACCTGGCAAAACCTCCCTTTGTTCCTACATGATAGAGGGAGCATCTTGAACCAGAATGAGGTGATCCTTGTGGTGTAATATTCCAAGGATCAGTCGTTGAGGGCTCTCAAGACTCTTTATGCTTCTGGAACAGTAGGTCAGTGCAGTGGGTCTGGAGGCAGGGTGATGGGAAAGTGATAAGAGCATCCTTCTGGTTTAACCTGGATATGCCACCTTTGGGAAATGCTGAAATGACATGTGGCATTTTATTTCTCTTACTTTTAGTTTTAGCCTCAGTAAAATGGGAATTAGAATGGCCTTACCTGGGGCACCTGGATGGCTTAGTCGTTAAGCATCTGCCTTCAGCTCAGGACATGATCCTAAGGTCCTGGGATTGAGCCCTGCATCAAGCCCCGAATTGGGCTCCCTGCTTAGTGGGTAGCCTGCTTCTCCCTCTCCCACTCCTCCTGCTTGTGTTCCCTCTCTCTCTGTGTCTCTCTCTGTCAAATAAAGAAATAAAATCTTAAAAAAAAAAAAAAGAAGAAAGAATGGTCTTAACTTTTGGGGGTTGTGATGGCATTTTGGGGTATAACAAATAAAGTATGCAAAGGGTGTTGGAGCTCAGTAGTTCTCTGTAAATGTGACATGTCAGTTCCCTACCTCCAACCTCCATACCTTCCTCAAACTCCCAGATCACTTCCCAACCTCTGCCCCCTTCCCTGCTCTCCTGTCCCTTCTGTCCCAGGCCAGGGCTGGGGAAGGAAGGAAGTGGAGTTGTACTGAGTCTCCACCTTGTCCTCTCATGGGAAGCAAAGGTTAGAAGTCCCCCCACACTAGGGAGTTTCCACTTCCCTCTCTGTCCAGCTGTAGGGGTCAGTGGGGAGAAAAATGACTAAGAGAGGGAGAATTTCTGGAGTCCCTCTGGCCTTGGCCCAAGACCCCACCCACTGGGAAAAGCAGAGGAAAGTAATTTCTCAGCCTGAAGATTCTGGACAAAGTCTTGACTGATGAGAAATGGAGATTCTCACCTCCTTTTCAGCCAGTGCTCAGGGTGCAAAGGCATCAAGGTATAAAACTGTGGTATGCTCAGAGAATCTTTGAGAACTTGCTGGAATTCATAATGTAGATTCAAGTAAGGGAAGTGGGATCCATGTGGAGGCACTAAGAGAGGGCTAGAGTCTTCACATGGCAGGAGGTCTGTGGCAGCAGAGGATGGCCCAATGGCTTTGGGAGTGTTCACTAGTCCAGGACTGGGAGAACAACTAAGGTGTAGGAAAGTGGGAGGAAATATAGGCACCTGCCATGAACAGCCCCTTTCCCACAGTGCTCCCCTTAGGGCATCCTTGGCAGCAAGACCTTCAGATGGGAGCTCCTCCTTTCCCAAGTCAGCTCTGGAAGATTTTTCCCATGGAAATATAAATGATTCAAGCCAGCTCTTCCAGAAGCCACTTTATCTCAACAGGGATCAGTACTTTCTTCCAGGGGAGTGGTATGCCAAATATGCCATGCCCTGGGGAAGGATCTTAGGAGAAAGGGGAGGTTGAACCAAGAGGTCCTGGGCCTCTGACCCTATATCACATTGGACATTGGAGACTTGGAGCTGAGAGGACACACTGCTGCCCACAGGAACCCACCTTCCAATTTTAGTATATGTGCTGCCGAAGCGAGCACAGGAACCCACCTTCCAGTGAAGACCAACAGTAAAAGAAGGGCATGAGGATGGAAAAGGCTTCCTAGAGGAGGTGAGGCTGAGAAGATCCTAGAGAAATAATAGGGGATCAGCTGGTTGGAGAAGAAGTGAGGAGGCCATTCCAAGCAGAGGGAGCAGATCCTGAAAAGGCCTGGAGGCATGGCCAACCACCACAGTCTGGGGGCTTCAAGTGATTGCAGGAAGTATAGGGATGGAAAGAACTGTGTTGGAGCTAGACGTATCTGTGTTCAAGTCACTGCTCTGAAGCCCATCCCCTCTCTGAATCTCAGTTTCTCATCTGTAAAATGGGGATG